TCGAGCCCTCCCATGACCTCCCTGTTTGCCCCTGGGACCCCCCCCCAGCCCCCCCGGCCCCCCCCCCCCCAGGAGCCCCCACCTGTAGACGAGGGCGTCGTCGGCGGAGCTGTTGTACTGGATCTGCACCATCCGGACTCCGGGCACGTGGCGCTGGGGGAGCCACCGGATGCGCGCCGAGGACCCGGTCACCTCGGCCGCCACCACCCGCCGCTCCCCGGGCCCCGCCCCCCCAAAGGTCTCGTTGCCCCCCGCCCTGGCCATGTCAGAGGGGCCGGGCCCGGGCTCGGGGTCGTCTCCGTCCCGGTCCCCGCGCGGCACCGGCAGCGGCACCACCACGACGTCGACGCGCGCGGCCGCCTCCCCCGCGGCGTTGGCGGCCACGCAGGTGAAGCCGCCGTGGTCGCGCAGGGTGGCCACGCGCAGCTCCAGGGAGCCGTCGGCGCCCACGGAGCGCCGGGAGCCGTTGTGCACCACGCGCCCGTCGGGGCCCAGCCAGTGCAGCGCGGGCGGGGGGTCCCCGACGGCGGCGCAGCCCAGGCGCAGCGGCTGCCCCTCGGTGACGGCGGGCGGGTGGGCGGCCGCGGCGGTGACGGCGGGGGCCCGGCACGTGAGCTCCTCCTCGGGCACGGCGCCCAGCAGCCGCCCGGCCAGCGGCGCCGGCGTGGCGCAGGTCTCCAGGCGCCCCGGCTGCGCCGCGCGCCGCAGCCACAGCAGCTCGCAGTTGCAGTGCAAGGGGTTCCCCCCGGCCGCCAGCGCCGGCCCCGGCGGGCCCGGCACGGGCGGCAGCGCCCGCAGCCGGTTGGCCGTGAGGTCGAGCCGCGCCAGCCGCGGCAGCCGCGCCACGGCGCCCGCCGGCACCCGCTCCAGCAGGTTGTGGTCCAGCGTGAGCGTGGCCAGGCTGGCCATGGCGGCCACGGCGTCCCAGGGCAGCGCCGGCAGGTTGTTGTGCGACAGGTCCAGGTCCTCCACGGTGGCGGCGAAGGCGGCGAAGGCGGCGGCGTCGATGGCGGCCAGCTGGTTGTTGGCCAGGATGAGGTGGCGCAGGCTGGCCAGCCCGCGCAGCTGGGGCCCGCTGAGCGCCGGCAGCCGGTTGCCGTCGAGGTGCAGCGCGCGCAGGGCGCGCAGGTCGGCGAAGGCGCCGGGGGCCAGGCGGCGCAGCCCGTTCCGCGACAGCGTCAGGTGCACCAGCGAGCTCATGTTGGCGAAGTCGGCGCGGCCCACGGCGCCGATGAAGTTGTCGGCCAGGCGCAGCTCCACGGCCCCGCGGTCCAGGCTGGGCGGCACCGCCAGCAGCCCCGTGCGGGCGCAGAGCAGCGTCGGGCTCGGCGCCGCCGCCGGGCACAGGCAGCGCGGGGGGCACCGGGGGGCGGCCGGGGGGGCCCCGCCCGCCACCGCCCCCAGCACCACCAGCGGCACCAGCAGCTTCGCCATCCCACGGCGGCGCCTGCGGGGGGGAGAGACGGGGGTCAGGGGGCGCTGGGGGGGGGTCAGGGCACCCTGCTCGGCCTCCCAGGATGTGTCGGATCCCACCGGGACCTGTCGTATCCCACCAGATCCCCTCGGATCACCAGGGATCCCCCTGAGAGCTCTCGGAATCCTGTGGAACCCCACACGCCCTGCGTGTTCCCGTGGGGTGCCGCCTGAGCCAGGAGATCCCACGAGATCCAAAAGACCCCACAAGATCCCAAAAGACGCCACGAGATCCCATTTGTCCTATGAGATCCCGTGATACTCAACGAGATCCCATGAGATCCTGTGTGCCCTGTGTGTTTCCATGGGATCCCAGTGATCCCACATGTTCCCATGAGCTCCAGGGAGATCCCAGTGATCCCAGTGATCCCAGTGATCCCAGTGACCCCAGTGATCCTGTGTGTTCCCATCAGCTCCAGGGAGATCCCAGTGATCCCAGTGACCCCAGTGATCCTGTGTGTTCCCATCAGCTCCAGGG